TATATATATATGTTTGTTTTTTTTCTGAAATCCAAGTAACTATTTCATGATGCATACAGCAATTTTAATACTTTACCTTTCCTTGGAAAAGATGTTTGTTGTGGTACATTGCGTTGCGGTATGTGACAGTCCTGACCTCATCTTTAAGCATTTCCTCGTGGATTCCGAAATGGGCATATGAGTCAAAGTAATAGTCTCTTGAAGTCATCTCATCTGCGTTGCCAGTCGCTTCGCCATCGCCAGGAGATCCTTTACCTACACCACCAGCACCACCGCCACTGCCGGCGGTGCTGTGGGCAAGTTTCTTTAATACATTGTTCGTGTTGGCAATTCCGACAGTTGCGAGACTTGCACCGGGCGCGCTCTCAAGCTCAGCGCTTGACTCCATTGCTATATCTGTTGAGGACTGTAAGTAATACAATAAAATCAGTTCAGTCATCATTTTGCTACTCAGTATATTCTACTTACCATTTTTTTAAAGCTTTATTTAGCCTGATTTGTGTAAGTTAATCGAAATTAAGCAATGTATCAGACACCGGACTACTTCCCTCCAAACACACGCGAAAAAGTGCTACCAAGCAGCTTAATTTTAGGGATGTTGAATGCTTATCGATATTTTCATACAAAAGCGATACACATGTGGTATGTGTTTGGTATATCGATATAAATGAATTAAAATAGATATAGAACTGCCTGATTTACAATCTTGAATGAAACGATCAAGCAATCGCAATATCTATTTTCTTCTGTTTATTTTCCGGTTGGTAGAGCTAATTTTTCTGTTAATATTATTATACAAGTTTTCCTTTAACCGCGCTAACAAAGCTTAGCCACGATATATTTACGATTTTTTGAGAACTGGAAAAATTTTCTTCCCTAGGAATTCCAAAAACCTTGAATTAAAATTTAATATGAAGAATAGATTTCATTAATTAAATTGCTAAAATTATTAAAATCCATTAATACCTTTGAAAATTATAATCGAAATAGCAATGATGTGGACAGTTGATAGCACGATTGTTAGATATCGATTATACGCATTGTTTTGGCGGCAATAATCAGCTTCACGTTGTGAATAAGGCGGCGTTTGCAGAATTAATTTGATTGGTTTTCATTAAACTTGTTTATTCTCACAATGGAAGGCTTCGACGATGCTGGTGTGTTTTTCTCAGACAATTTTGGGAACGATCATAACCCAGACGGAGCCCAAATTAATTTACAAGCTGTGAAAAAGAAATATAAAGAATTCATTCGTACATTCAACGAAGATAATTTTTATTACAAATATCGGTAACTATCATCTCACAAAGAATGCGTATCAAACTATTAATTTGCGATTCAATTCATTCAGAGATAATTTAAAGCGAAACTATCTAAATGGACGCTACTTTTTGGAAATTGAAATGGAGGATGTGGTGGGCTTCGATGAGACGCTTGCCGACAAATTGAACAAGCAGCCAACTGAACATTTGCAGATCTTCGAAGAAGCTGCACGTGAGGTAGCTGATGAAATAACAGCACCTCGACCCGAACATGAAGAGCAAATGCATGACATTCAAATACTGTTGATGTCTAGTGCCCATCCGACAAATATTCGTGAATTAAAGTCAGACAGCGTATCACGTTTGGTCAAAATCGCTGGCATAATTGTTGCAGCCTCCGGCATTCAGGCAAAGGCAACCCGGATGTCGATTATGTGTCGGTCGTGCAGTACCGTAATTCCAAACTTAAAAGTGAATCCAGGACTTGAAGGTTATGCACTGCCACGCAAATGCACTACCGAACAGGCTGGCAGGCCGAAGTGTCCATTGGATCCCTTCTTTATAATGCCAGACAAATGTAAGTGCGTTGATTTTCAAACGCTTAAACTGCAAGAGCTGCCAGATTTTGTGCCACAAGGCGAAATTCCACGTCATTTGCAATTGTTTTGCGATCGCTCACTATGCGAACGAGTCGTGCCTGGCAATCGAGTGCTTATACAGGGTATTTATTCCATACGTAAGGTTGGAAAGCCGTCGCGTCAGGATGGTCGTGAAAAGGCTGTGCTCGGAGTTCGTGCTCCATACATGCGCGTAGTCGGCATAACTGTCGATGCTGAGGGAGCTGGTGCAGTGTCTCGTTATACTAACATAACTACTGAAGAAGAAGAAAACTTCCGACGCTTTGCTGTTTCGCCAGATATATATGATCGCCTGTCGAAATCTTTGGCCCCTAGCATTTTTGGTTCCAGTGACATTAAGAAGGCCATTACGTGCATGCTCTTTGGTGGATCGCGAAAACGTCTTCCGGACGGTCTTTGCCGCCGTGGCGATATAAATGTATTACTCTTGGGAGATCCGGGCACTGCCAAGTCTCAGCTCCTGAAATTCGTTGAAAAAGTTGCGCCCATTGGAGTTTACACGTCCGGTAAGGGGTCTAGTGCAGCTGGTCTCACAGCTTCGGTTATGAAGGATCCGCATACGGTATGAAACTTATCAGAATGGTTTGCCTTAAGAGGTTTCACTTATTTATATCTATGTCTGATTCATAGCGTAATTTCGTTATGGAAGGTGGCGCTATGGTCCTCGCTGATGGTGGCGTAGTTTGTATAGATGAATTCGACAAAATGCGCGAAGACGATCGCGTTGCTATCCACGAAGCAATGGAACAGCAAACCATTTCGATTGCAAAAGCCGGTATTACAACCACACTCAATTCACGTTGCTCAGTGCTTGCGGCTGCCAACTCAATATTTGGGCGTTGGGATGATACAAAAGGCGAAGAAAACATTGATTTCATGCCAACGATTCTGTCACGTTTTGACATGATATTTATTGTGAAGGATGTACACGACGAGGCTCGAGACATCACTTTGGCGAAGCATATAATAAATGTGCATCTGAGCTCGAACAAATCAGCACCCTCCGATCCTGCAGAAGGTGAAATTTCTTTGTCCATGTTCAAAAAATATATCCATTATTGTCGCACACATTGCGGCCCGCGACTAAGTGAAGCGGCTGGAGAAAAACTAAAAAGTCGTTATGTTCTAATGCGAAGTGGCGCTGGGCAGCAGGAGAAGTCTGCAGATAAACGGCATTGTATTCCAATTACAGTGCGGCAGCTGGAAGCTATCATCCGAATTTCAGAATCATTGGCGAAAATGCGTTTGTTGCCGTTTGCTACGGATGAGCATGTAAATGAAGCACTTCGACTATTTCAAGTATCTACGCTTGATGCTGCTATGACTGGTAGCCTAGCTGGAGCGGAGGGATTCACCACTGAGGAAGATCAGGACACACTGAACCGTATAGAAAAGCAACTCAAACGACGATTTGCTATCGGATCTCAGGTTTCTGAGCAAAATATTTTGCAGGTAATAATTCGTAGCGGATCGTCTCAATAAAATTTAAATAACATATTATGTATTTCGTAATCCTTAGGACTTTTTACGCCAAAAGTATGAGGAACGAACTGTAATGAAAGTTATTCATACGATGATTCGCCGAGGAGAACTTCAACATAGGATGCAACGGAAGATGCTATATCGAATTTGCTGAACAAGTACAAGTCTTGATTTATTAATATGGAACCTATTTAATATATTTTGAAAATCTTTAATAAAATGATCAATATTCCAAGTTGAATCCAAGTAGAAAACTTAAACACCGTACATAAGGCAGTTAAACCTAAAATAAAAAATTCAACAAAAAGGTCAAAGTTTATGGAGATACCAGCTATTCCAAAAATTAAAAGTTTTTTACGAATGCTGTGAGAAATTCTCAATTTATATTATATAATCCGTTAATATATTAGCGGCTATTACAGCTAAAGACTTGGGTTTTTAATTGTACTTGTATTGGGCAGAGCCAGTTGCAAATGTCAAGGTTAAAAAAATATCTTCTATTCTGCTTTGTTAGAATACATTCGCCACTGTATTAAAATATAAATTTCCGGTATGATGAAATGAGATTTACTTTGTTCATGCAAATATAATAATCTATGTCTGTGCATGTGTATATGTCATAAATGCATATTTTATATACCTATGCTCGGGTTTTGATTCCGGCTAGTGAAAGAGCAATTGCTTCGTTTATGAATGAGTAATAACGGTCAGCAGGAAAGTAATGAATTTCGGTAAGAGAACTGATCTCATTGAAAAAAAACGAGTGTATATATTTCATTTGTGATCATAAATAATACGCGGGAGTCAGACCTACCAAATACTAAGAACATAAAAAATACATAAATAAATAATAAAATAAAAATATATATGTAGTACATATTATGTACATATACAATTCTAGCAATTTATAAAATGACTTTAGTACGTAGCGATATTCAGAAAAATACAATGATAAATCATAGGTACCCTACTTAAATTCCAAACTCACTGAAAATTTGAGTTCTAAGTATTATTAGTTTTGTACTCATATAAATCAACGATTCGAATCATGACAGACTAGACTAGGTATATAAGTCAAAGATAAGTTTGTGTCCTATACCCAGTAGCTTTTTCTATTTCCATTAAATCGATTAAGGTCGATATAAATCGGTATACAGTAACGTTTAAATAGAATCTTTTAAATGGTCCACAATGTGGAATTCTAGCAAGCAAACAAGCAAAAATAAAATGGTATGAAATGAGTCGAAAATACAGAGCATACGAGACGTGAACTGATGATATATAGAACACATATCTTCAATTGCATTTTTCAATTAAAATATGAATAAATAAAGAATAGAACGCAAAGAATATATGATATCAACTGCACAATACCGAAACGTAATGTGCTTGAACGAACATAAATAAGCAACGGATATAAATTCAATAAACTATTTATTCCCTGTGGGAACAGAGTACAATCATTAACGTCATAAACATCCGCGACTTTTCAATTTTCAATTTTCAAAAGAGCAAGATACACAGAGATCTGGCTACGTACTATTGGACATACATAGATTCAAATACGCAAATTCACGAATACAATAAAATACATATATGTAGAAAACATGCTCAGCACATATATGCATATGAATGTTGGACGGACGAGCACATATACATATGTACATTCAATATTTACATACAAGCGTATATACACAAGCGTAATTGTACGTATGTGTTTAGGTTTGTGTATACAATGTACACAAATATAAAAGATACAAATACGTAACACATCAGGGGCAGGGGCGGCATGTGAGGTAGGTACGAGAGCATAAACGATGAGTGGGGCCTTTTGTTTTGTGAATGGAAAAATTAAATGAAAATTCTCGGTGCACAGCAGCCAATTCCGTTATATATACGTCAGTACATTTGTAGCTCTCGTAAGAGTCAGTTCAAACAGATGCCAGACGAATAGAGAAATAGAGAACTATTGTGTGAATCAGCTACTTCACATAGAAGTTTTGTATTTCCTCTGATTGTAGATGAGAGCACCGCCTTAACTTAATTGCCTGGAAAATCAAAATACCGTTCTGCTTCAGTTGTGCTGCTAAAGATCATGTACATATATCCGAGCTCGCCCGAATCCGAGTCATCTTTGAAATCCGAGGAAAACGCAGCCACCAAAATACAAGCTGGTTTTCGTGGCTATCGTGTGAGGAAACAGCTATACCGTATATCCAAATCGAATAGTTCTCGCAACATCGGCCAACGCTTCGGCAATCATCATCAGCCATCGAGTGGTGTTCTACGTCAGCAACGTCAGCAGTGCTCGCACACATACGATACCATGGAAGATAATCAGAAACAGATTCCTAAGGTTAATGACGTCTCCGCCCTGTCGGACGTCAACTCAGTCGAGGCGCGCTCGGCTATAAAAATTCAAGCAGGATTCCGAGGGTTCCTCGTGCGAAAGAAGCAGAAAATAGCAACAGATGCAGCAGTCAAAATACAGTCAAGCTTTCGTGGATTCAAGGCACGCAAGGAAGCTGAAAAAATGAAGCAGTCGTAAATTCTGGACCACGCTCTTCCGTATACACTCATAGCTCGTAGCGTGTGTAATGTAAATTAATTTCTTTATATAATGCATACATTCGAGTTCTGCGTGTGGCAGCATGCTATAACATTTTGTACATAGAAAGTAGCACTAGATTATTGTAATGAGTTAAACAAAATAAATAGAAACATACTTGCGTTAAGTAACAGTGCTTTCATATGTACTTAGTACATTCAGCTACTTTTAACGTGTTTGGTGGTCACACAAACAATTATTGCAAATATAAATAGATTAATTATCGAAACTTTTCATGCCTTATATAGTATAGAGTACGTCCATATATTATATCCATTTCAAGCAACAAAATATTATTGTTAGTGTGGTTAAGTGATCTAACTAATGTTTTAAAAAATCAAACATATGAATACATACATACACAGTCACATACATCAATATAC